ATTTGTTCATACTGGCGTATTAAAAAATGAGTAAGCAGAGCACGTACACAAAACTCAGTAAGCTACGCCGGTGTGAACAAATTTGTTCATACTGGTGTATTAAAAAGTGCGTAAGCAGAGCACGTACACAGAACTCAGTAAGCTATGCACAAAAATGTTCATAAGCTTTTAGTGTGTGTAGTTTAACTACTCTAGCTTCAGTAGAAGAGCTTTCTCAGAGTCCAATCGAAGCTCACCACCGAAGCTCGTCGAATTTTTTCCAAGTCTTGAATGGTGGGCCCGGACACTCACCCGCGCCTGCAGCATGGTGCGCACGTCGAGCTCGCGGCCCTGCTGGCACGCGTACATGAGCGGGGTGGCGCCCTCCTCGCCGGAGCTCACCGACGTGGAGTCGGGCTCGGGGCGGCGCGGCTCGGGCTTCTGCTGCTGCTGGTGCTGATGCTGCTGCTGCTGCTGGTGGTGGTGTGCCGCCGTCCTTGCCGCCGCCCTGGCCGCCCGGTCGTGGCGGGAGTGCACGCGGTGAGGGGGCCCCGGCCCCCCCGCGTTCACGGCGACCTGGGCCGAGCTCATGGCGCACCCCGTGGTCACCGCGGACCCTGCCAAACAGAGAACACCCATCCATCAGAGGAGGCACGCGCGCGCGGGGCCTGCCGCCCTGCCGTGATCCATCTCCCTCTCCCTGCTCGCAGGCTCGGCACGCAGCAGCAGGTGGGGTCAGGGGGCTGTCAAGGCCGGGCCGGGCGGCCTGCCCGCGCCGACCCGCCCGCCTGCTTGCCCCAGTCTGCCCCGCGAAGAGCATGGCGCGATCACCCGTGCCGACTTTACGGCAGTTTTTCTGAAAGCTGAGTTATACTGATAGATGGGGGAAATGGCGGGGCATGAGAGCTTTCGAACTTTCAGCGCCGCAAGGCCAGTAGTAAACGACGCAAGGCATTTCTCTCTCCGGAAATAAGCATTAGAATGGAGATCATAAAGCAAAAGTCGTAATAGTTTCAATGCCGTTGCCGTTTTGCTTTCGTTTCTTTTTGCTGAAGCTCTTGACTAACACTCGGGGAACCCCCGGGTCGGCTGAGCGACCTTAACTGAAACACCTATCACAATAAAGCGGTTTCGCCTTGGCCACCTCGGCCGCCGTGCATCCCCCCGGTTGTGCTAATGAGCGTTTGGCTAGGGGGCGCTGCGCCCCGCCCGCCCGAGGGCGATGCGACTGGTGGGGCCACAGGGCCGGGGCCGGGCGGGGCGGGGTGGGGCAGGGCCGTTAACCAGTCTGACCCCGTTGCATAAGCGGCCCTTATCTGAGTCGTCCAGCCCCGGGGCAGCTAACGCCGGCTAACGCTATTTCCCCCGAACCCTCCGCGCCGCGCAGTCCTGCCCGGCGCTATCGCAGCGCGGCGGGTGCGACCGCGACGATGAGCCATACGGCGACGCAATGCAACTCGAATGAGCTCTGAGAATAACTCGGGTGGTTTTGTGTAATTTTAGAATGAATCCCCCTGCCGCCGCCGACTCGCCAGCTGCAGTCGGGCCCCGCCCCAGCGCAACCAGCTCGATAGGCGGTGCGTGCATGTGATCCATTCCTCGCGATTGGTTTCTCGTTGCGGAGGAGATGCTCTAGCCCCGGCTGCGGCCCGCCGCACAGGCCCGCCGCACAGGCCTGGCCCACTGCGCCCGATTCATTCCACGTGGAGGAACGCGATGCCACGCGATTCGGGTTTCACTCTTCGCCGGCCGCCGCCTATTTCGCGGGGAATAGGTCCGCGGAAATTGCGCGCGCGAGGGACGGGGAAATGGCGCACAGAAGAAAGGGGCGGCCTTTTGTTTCCGGCGAGACTTTTAGCAGCCGGAGACGCTGGATAGGTACGCGGGGGAGGGCAACGGGGGAGAGCACGCGAGTGCGGTGCGCGGGTTCATTTGGGCAGTCTGGGTGGTGGTTGGTCAGTGCTGGTCGCTGGTCTTTGTCGAGCCTTGACCCAGATGGACACGCGAGAACCCGTTGGCGCGGCCGCGGGCCGAGGCCGTGGCGGGGGTGGGTGAGGTGAATGCGCGTTGCGCCCGCCGCCTGCTACCGTGCCCGGCCTCGGACACGCCGCCCCGCCCCCGCCCTCTGCATCTACACCCCCCTGCTCTTACCCCCTCACCCTGGCGGCGCTTGATTCAAGCTCGCAAAGACGCTTTAATTGTGCTCGCCCTGGTGCGGACTGGGGCGGCCCCGGGCGGGACAGAGTCACCGATAGCCATCGCCGGCCTGCCCGCCCCTGCCACTCGCGCTGCACGCGGAGATCGGAGATAATATGGGGCACAAATCTCTTTGCCCAGGACACGGGAACATGGGGGAACATTTTCTGCATCTAGAGACAAAATTACCTGCCGCGGATGGCGGGAAAGTACAACCCGCCGGTATACCAGGGTGGCTGATTCATGCCGCGCACTTTCGTAGGTATACTGCATGCACGAGTGCGAGCGAGTTTGCCTATAATCGCTGCCCACGGCTCCTTGTGGTCCCTTGCGAGTAGGCAACCCACCCCCACACGTGCATGCGGTACAGTATAACTACGAAAGTGCGCGGCGCGGCGTGAATCAGCCACCTGGTACTATTAGGCAGGCAAACAGCTCGGTGTCGCGGCCGCGGCCAGCCCCGCTACCCTCTCTGGAAATGTGAGTCAACTTTTAATCGAAACTGTTATTCCTGCGCCGCAGCAGCGCCAGCGGGCGGGCGGCTGGGAATCCCGAGCCAGCGGTGGCGGCGCACAAGTGGGAGGAAGACAGACAATTTGGCCCGACTCTCCAGGCAGACACGCAACACCGGGAGGTCTGCTCTCCCCCGCTCTCCAGCGCCTTCCCTCTGCTCTACCGCCC